CAAGTGTTTGTTATAAAAATTAATAGAAAATGAAGCCCACAGGAAGTGACAATTAAGAGCTAAATGTGAGGTTTTGCTTCACATCAGTTATTTAGCCATATGTTTTGGGGTGTTCTTTCTCATGTTTGCCACCTTCAAAAAAATCAATAAAAAGCATGTGAAAATATCTAAATGAACACAGAGGAAACAGTGTCAGAAATCAATAGTTCTCCACCAGCATGTTTAACCTGCCGAAATGAAGTGTTAATCACAGAAATAAGATACCATATTACATTTATAAACTAATGAAACTAGAAAAGGCAAAGCGCGTGACACTATAATTAAACAGCTGGAAGACATCCAAGCCTGTGTAAGTTGATAACCCCGGTACAATCTCCGGCAGCGAAAATGCAGGTCTGCCGTGAGTTGATATGGCCAGCTCAGTTGTTAATTGAATAACAGGCAATCTATAAACACTACTAATTGCATATGTGAAAACCTGTGTACAACTAGAGACGCTGTCCAGAGAAGCACTCCAGAAAAACTACATGGAGGAAGCACTGGGCAAATCTTCTGTCTTTCTCAATTCACTTAAGTCATAGCTTAGTTTTGCCATGGCATCCTTCTGATCAACCTCTACACAGCAGACTTAATGATACACTTTTCAAAAGATCATTTTTCTTCCTAACCCAATACGTGCCACCCAACTATCAATTACTCACTTCAGAAAAGAACAAACAAGTCATCTAGAAAATTCAGCCTGTGAATGGAAAGCTTTCTAAATCGTGAAAGAAGACATGGTCTTATTCCCAACAGGCAAAATGCTTTTCAGAATTGTTCTGACGCATTTTGCAGAAGTGTGGCAGCTGCTGTGAACAGCATGGAGTGTTAAGATTTGACACTTTTTTTTTTCTTAAGGATATAGCCATTTGGGGAGGCTCAGAAACTGTCGTAAGAATTTTACTTATTCATCCATTTAATAAATCCCTTTAAAATGATTATTTCAGCCCCGGTGAATGCCAAACATTTCAAAACTATTGCTCTAGGATCTAAATCAAATTTCTTATATTTAAATCTGTAGAGAAGAATGGCCCAAGGGACTAGTTAGGAAATATGAAAGATCCTCTAGTTTAACATTCAAATCCAAATAAGGCCAGTGGAGAGCAAAGGTCACTGTCATTTTGAATGTGTCTAGCAGCGTCCATGAAATGAATTGAGAGACTTAATCCTCTCCCTAGTGGATACATATAATATCACATCATGAAACCCAGAACTACCAGAGTGCTGTGCAGTACCGTGAAGCACAAGTATTGGAGCCAGACTGACGTGTACTCACATAATGGCTCCAACACAGAAGAGCTATGGGCAAGAAACTTAAAGCTGCTGGGACTCAATTTCTTCATCTGTAAAGTGGGAATTACAAAATATATCTCATAAGGTTGTTATGAGGAATCAAAGAGATAATATGGGCAATATGCTTAGCAGAGTGTCTAGCATAAAAAGCGCTCAATAGCGGTAGAGTGTTTAAAAATAAATCATGTATTTACCCATTACAGACAAATGGAAATATTAAAATATGTATAGCAACACCTTGTAGTCAAATAACTGAATGGTGCCTGAAGCTGAGTTTCTCTCTCACATTTCATCAGTATAGAAAAGAATACTCGGGGACAGCCCCAGTTGCCTAGTGGTTAAGTTCAGCGTGCTTCGTTTCGGCGGCCTGGGTTTGGTTCCAGGGCACGGACCTACATGTCTCTGTTAGCAGCAATGCTGTGCTGGCATCTCACGTACTAAAAAACAGAGGAAGACTGGCACGGATATTAGCTCAGGGTGAATCTTCCCCCCAAAAAAGAAAAGAATATTGGATTTCACCAAAATTCCTTGGAAAAAATACAAATTTGAATGTCTTCACTTTAAGATATAGACACACTTCAGCTGACACTCTACCAAGACTAAGGGTAACTCCTCAAATATGAGGCCTTCAGTCAATTAGAAATAAGAATGAAAAGAAACTATAAAGAATCAACTTAATAAAGAATTAATTGTTTAAAAGGATAACTTTTTAAGTAGAAAAGATGTGATAGATGGCATGCACAGAGAAAGGAATGAAGTATATGAAAGAGCTGTCACCTCTGCTTTTACCCTGGATATTTGCTACCTGGAGAACTCTTAATCTCAAGAGTCCCTAGACCACCAAGAGAAAGGCCTAATTTACAGAATTTAGATATTAACTTCAACCAATTTTACCAAAAATCGGAATTGACAAAAATTCTTTGTTAGTTTCACCAATCCCCTGAGTACCAAAAGGTATTTTAACTGAAATGATGTTTATGGACCAATCAGGTCTCACCAGGTATTGCAAGTCTTCCATCTATTTATAGGAGAATACAAGTGAGGAGTATCCAGTCTCTGTTACAAACAAAAGCGCATTTCACTGGTAGAAATCCCCACCTCTATGGGCATGGTGGCCTTTTGGAGCCTACATCTGTTTCCTGCACATCCAGCCTCTCAGCACATATAAGTAGTTAGATTTCTCATCATTACTGCATTTGAACTTTAAGAATTTGGAAACTTCAACACAGAGCTCTCTGCTCTTGAATTAATTTTATTTCTTGCTCTAACAATCTAAATTTCCTACTCTTAGGGCCCAGATATAAACCCACTTTTAACAAATATTATACCCAGATAAATGTGAAATGAAGCAGAATTCATTAACAATAATCAATATATTAAAATACAATCATACCCAAATGAAGTCCCTCCTAGATGCAAAAATAAAAAAAAATATGGCAAGCTAAAGTTGCAATGCACTTTGAGTATTTAAATATGGATATTAAACAAGGCATGACTATTCCCCAAATCATGGTGTGCGTGTGTGCATGTGTGAGAGTATAAATATTAGCCACATAAATTTCAATTACATGTATTTAATATATTTAAACTATTATTGTAGATGTCCAAAGAGACTTTATTCAAAATGAAATTGTGCCTATTACATTAAATTAGAAGAAACTAAAACTATACAATATGGATCAATCAATTAAACTAGGGGAGTTACCTAACCCATTTTTTAAGCAGTTTGTTTATTTTGTTTGTTTGTACATATGTGATCACACAATGGAAAAGAATCCTTTAGGGAAAAAGGATTCACAGATGCTAGTAAGTTGCATCAAGACGAAAATAGTGTCTCTGCATGTCCCCCACTGAAGCCAACATTATAGAAGATTTCTGATTAAATAGATGAAGACTATTTTTCAAAAATCTTAAACTTTCTACTTCAATATAGGAAGATTTTCAAATTGCTGCCAGCATCAAAATCCCTGAAGGCTCCTACAACTAATTCATTTTAATTCAAAACAATCATGAATGGCATGATGGATGGATAACAAGCTTTGTAGCTGAATAAAGGATCCTTACCCTCAAGGAGCTCCAAGTGAGAATATATCTTAGACTATTACTTATAATATAATGTTGCAATATAATGGACCAACATTCTATGGGAGTACAAAGGATAAGTGGCTTCTGAAGTATAAACATATTTTGCCAAGATGAGAAGTTGGAGGAAGGGCATCCCAGAGCAAGGCTTCAACCTACACAAGGCATGAAGGTTAAAAAGTGCATGACCTGATTTGGAAATGATAAGTAATACAATGTGATTAGGCTACAGAAATGCATAGAGGTAGAGTAGTGGAATATAAACCTGCAAAGACAACTTGTAAAAAGCCTTATATTCCATGTGAGATTGTTTAGAATTTTACCTAAAGTCAATGAGGAGACATCCAAGGGATATCTTTGTGCAGGGAAGTGATGATCAGAATTGTGTTTTAGAAAGAGAGTTCCGACGGAAGGATCAGACTGGGTGGGGACAGAGACTTGACATATGGAAGTCAGTTAGGGGGCCAATGCAGCTGTTTCAGGGAGAAATGACACAGGTGTGAACCTTGGCAATAAAGTGGAAAGGGATTTATATGATACTTCAGAGTGAGCATAGACAGGAATTGGACTGGATATGGAAGGAGAAGAATCACAAAGATAAGCTTGCCATTTCTAGCTTAGATGACTAGATGGATGGAGAGGCTATTAACTGAAATAGGAAATACAGAAGGATAATGTCGGAAAATTTCTGAAATTAGCCTGGATAAAAATATTCACTTATATGTCCATTGGAGAAAATGCTATGATATCCAAGTTAAAAGAAAGTATGCCAGGGGCCGGCTCGGTGGCGCAAGTGGTTAAGTGCACACGCTCCGCTGCAGTGGCTCCGGGGTATGCCAGTTCGGATCCCGGGCGCGCACCGACGCACCACTTGGCAAGCCATGCTGTTGGCGGCCTTCCATATAAAGTGGAGGAAGACGGACACGGATGTTAGCCCAGGGCCAGTCTTCCTCAGCAAAAAAAGAGGAGGATTGGCAGATGTTAGGCACAGGGCTGATCTTCCTCACAAAAAAAAAAAAAGAAAGAAAGAAAGTACGCCAAGGTAAGCACAGGAAAGAAGTAAACTTTGGCTTTTTCAACTAAAGCAAGCATACTTATCCTTCTTAGCTAAAGCCACTGTCATCACTCTACTTTCCACACAGTACTAGCTCACTAAGCTTCTTAGAATATATACCTCTATCCTCTCACTTCCTCTGCTTACTTATTTCCTAGGGATATCCTGCATCTGTAAATCAGATCTTCCCAAGCTCTAGAAATTAAATAACAATGCAAACAATTCATACTCTCCCCAAAGAGCATAAGTGTTTAGAATTCACGTATGGCACTCTAATCTTGCAATTAGAAATTATCAGAAAAGGACTGTATGAGTTTCCTGCAGATGTAGAAAGTAGAGAAAAGGTAACTTTTTCTCATTGTGTAATAATTTGGTCCTCATAAATCTAGAAGAAATGGTCAGCACATAAGGGTTAGAGCAGGCCAGGTGTGAAGATGAGTCAGATTGGAGAATGACAGTTACTCAGTGAGAGCTGGAATGGTTTGGGAGATATAAAAAAGGGAAGGCAAACTTAAAAGAATGCATACGCTACCTTCAACATCACAACTCAGGTAGTTGCGCACTTCATTCAAAATGAAGTTGATGTCTTCTTCCGAAGGAATAGGATGGGGTGTAACATCAGTTGGAGTGTCAGTAGTGCCAGCTATAGTCATCTTTTGCCAGGGTAAGAAGAAAATAACTCGCCCATCACTGGTCGCTGGGTCAAGAAGTCCCATGCTCTCTGGGCTGAAGCAAAAACAAAGGCTATATATTTCTGAAATTAGCAGAAATTTAATCTTAATCTGCATTCTGAAAACTATTTTATTCACCAGTTCTCACATAAACAAACAGGAAAAACATGAGCTATTACTTTTACTGCCACTACCCTAATCTAGAAACTCCTGAAAGAAAAGAAATAATTTTGGTAACAAAAACTAATGGAGCAAGTGTGATAATAACAATATTCCACAGCAGAACGAGCCCTCCCTATCTCAACAATGCCAGGTTAATTAAGAAAGTAGACTTGAACTTCCAGTTGTTTGGGGTTTTATATTCCTTGGACCATTCATGTCAGATAATATCAGTGGGATAAATGTCTACAATTTCTTTTATGATGGTCAATTAAGAATAGCTCTTCAATCTTTTTTCAGGTCTACGAAAAAAGCATTTTCCTGGGACATTTGACATTTGATACATCTTTCAGTAGAAGATCTCAGAAGTACATGAGAAAAGTGAAGGGTCTAACTTTCTAGACACTAAAATGTAATCAAAAAGTTCTTCACTCTTTTGTGCCTAGATGAACTTGCATCATTTCACCAAATATGAGATTTCTTACTTTATTTCAATTTTACAGAAATCTCAAGAAGTGAATCCATGAGAAAAGGGCTCATTTTTCTACCAGTACCTAAACAACAATGTACTAGGATAAGGTCAAAAAGGAGAGGAACATCTTAGCAATGAAAATCTTTAAATACACGGAAGATGCTAGTATATTATGCTGCTAAATCAAGGTTCAAGGATGCCGCTTCTGACAGATTATATAAAATTTTCCAAAATACTAATTGATAATTTTCGCTAACACATACTTAATATTCTAAAACCAAATTATAAAATACACTTGAAAGTAGAGGCAACTGTAAATAAATATTAATAAAAGCTGCCCAATTTTGTTGTTAAAGCACGAGAAACCGTTGTTTTAATGTATTCATCAACCATTCAAAGAAATTGGGAGAAGCTGGAAGGAGTGGGAGGAATCTGAAAGTGTCATATTCAAATAGAACACTACAAATCTTCAGAGAGCTGTTTCATTTTGACTGATTCTCACAGCAAGCCAATGTTAAAAGTATTTTCTGTGAATATATTTGCAGCTTCTATTAATGATATTTCTTAAACAGAAAACACAATTCTGTTTGGTTTAAATACATTTCAAGAAATCCCTCTTATACCCACAAATTTTAAAGGGCATACAGTCAACTTTTTATGTTTATCATTCCCTTCAAATTTTTTTTGAAAAACTCAGATTGATTCAAATGTGTAAGGATGAGATACTAACAACTATTTAAAAGCAAACCAAAAATAATTTTTTTATGAAAAAGAAATCTACAGTCAGCTTAGGTAATGCATCTTCTTTATTTAAACCACAAGGAGTACTAGTCTTTCTCTACAAAGACCCATCAGCCCCATGAAATGCCTGCCATGTCTACATAGCCTTTGTAGAAAGAAATCACTGTCTACAGCCTACTTGCGAGACACAAGAGAGAGTGGGCCACAGTTCCTTTACTTAGCACATGCAAAAAGCACCACAGAAGTATGTCAATCGTTTAAACCTTCACCTAAGATGTGATCTTCACTCAGGGTAACTTAGAGGAAATAATTTTACTTTCATTTTCATATATTGAAAATTGTAAATATTGAGTATTTTCATCTCTGTATGATTATACTTTTTTTCTTTGTATTTGTCATAAGACTCCAAAAATCTTAAAAGAAAGTAGTTAATTATGTGTTTTGTAAGCACCTAACTTGATCCTGGGTTAATATGCCCTTAGATGAGATCACTCACTTTGGAATTAGAAATTAATTCATTCAGAGTTCAAGATTTCAATTTGATAGATAGTACTATATTGAAACAAAAGGACAAATTCCATATTCTAACATTTAAGGAATATATTATATCTTGGTTTTATATATGACCATTTTATGGACCAGATATTATATGATGTGTCTAAATAACTCAATAAACCTGATAAACTTTAGCATAAAACTATAATATTCAGCAACCTACACATGAAATGCTGTTAGAAAAGCACAACTACTGAATGCTTTAAAACCTTTCAATGCAATAAAAGCAGTTTAAAGGGTGAAGGTGATGGTTACCAACACACACATAACTGGAACCTGTAGAGAATCAACTGCTTAAGTGAAGACATATGTGTCAAACATAAAATTAACAAGCACACAGGGAAGACAAAGCTATTAATGAATGGTATAAAAATTTAAGAATCCACTTGGAAATACCTTTCATCAGTTCTAAATTACCTAATTCCTACTCTACCTTAGGGAAAAGTTTGTTTTCTTATGAAGGATTAATTCTGCAAGGTCACACAAAAGTTTGAAAACGGATATCAACTATAGTGATGGTATACACAATACAGTGAGGCATGTCTTTTTTCAACATGTATGATTCACTGGATCAGGAGGAAAAGCTTGCTGCTAATTTACGTGCGTGTCTAGGATTAGAGGTAATGAACGTTTTTCTCAGGCAGACCATTGCCTTCCTGAAGCACCCTTATTTAAACTGAAATCAATTTATTGTTAACTACTTAGCAATCAGTGTTAGAGCTAACTACGTACAAACATTATAGGAAAAAAATTGACCTCCTGTCAGTAGTGAAAAGCATCTGTAGGCTAGAAGGAGGAGATGATTATTTTCATGTATTTCAGCCATTTGGTGTATTGTTGCTGCTTTTCTAAGAGCACCTGGCCAAAACTCTGATGAAAATTCCATATTTCTTCTTGACGTAAACTATAGTGTCTTTAAAAATAAATAATTTCTGTGTGTTAGTTTTCTGAAATAGAAACGATCTAAAAAAAGAAATAAAGGAAGCTGCTACCATGGCACAAGATAATTCCACATGTGAAAGGTTAGTTAGGGTCATAACAAGCTTAATAAATGCCATAAAGATACTCTGAAAATGGCCCAACAAAGTACACTGCACACATGGTTCTCGCTCTCCATTTAGCAGCCTACACTCAATAAATCAGTGGTTACTGAACTCACCACATTTCCAAACTGATCAGGTTCTAACTGAAATGTTAGGTCTTAAGTTATCATCAGCCAGTTTGTGGGGCAGCCCCAGAAATTCTGACTCATCCTCGAAGACCTAGTCGAACCCTTGAGTTGTAATTGCCGAGTGTGTCTGACTGATGTACCCAGAGAGCCTTTTCAGTCTGAGATCTCCTGACCCCACCCAAGAGAATTACTCAATATGGAGAGCAATACCATCCCTCGGGGATGCCAGAGCTACAGCTGCCTCAAGGCCAGTGCTAAAAGAGGGAATAAACCCTTAATCCAGGCGGCAATCCTCAAGCAAGAGGCTCAACGCAACAGAGCCTGAACAGCAACGGGGCTGCAGACCCCTCCTTTAAGGTTTCTGACAGGATGTATGGTGGGTGTAGTTCAAGGTGCTAAAAATGGGGATATTAATTTCTCCCAAAGTAGAATGAGATCACTTAATGCATCTTAAAATGAGACAGACCCAGCTGTGACTAACACTTTCATGATTTATGGGCAGGGGACCCGAAGCTATTGCTGAATTTTTAGGATTAAGAAAGGCATTCTGTTTTGAAAATATTACATCCAGGTGACGTATATTTATATTCCTTAAAAAACACCTATCTACTGTTATTAGCATATTATAAAGCATAGCACAGAACAATACATATAGCATGACCTCTTTCAGGTAAGATTTTTTAAAGGATTTGTGCAAATATACATTTGTGCAAATATAAAATTTTATGGAAGGAATCAGAAAGAAGTGTTATCGATTACCAGAGAAGAACTAAAGTGGGGGGGCATAAGGAAGAAGAGGAAGGCTTTCACTTTTCATTTTGTATCTTTCTATTTTTTCTATAGTGCTTACTTTTATTTATTTTTGTCTACAGGGGTTATCTGGGCAGTAAAATAAAGAAGCCTATTTCATTTTCGTATTTTAACTTCTCTATATTTAAAAACTCCCTTATAGGGGTTATATTAAAATTTTAATTTTAAAAAAAGCAACAATCTCAAAAATAGTTAGGAGGAGTCATACAAAAAATATTTACTGGTCACTATTATGTGCCAGACACTGTACTAGGAGCTGGAGATATAGCAGTCAACAAAATAGATAAAAGGTAATCAAAGAATCATTGTCAAAATGTACACAAATTAGGTACTATCATGAGATAAGGAACCAGAAGCCGAAAGAAGTAGCTTGCCAAGGTCACGGTTAGCAAGAGGTAAAGTGATGAACAAACCCAGGAAGTATACAAGGTATCATCTTAACTTATTCTCCATACTGTCTCCTTATCTATGCACCTGAAACAGCAGAATGTCTTGCCATTTTAATGATGGGCAAACTAAGGTTGACAGAATAAAATGGCTTGTCCCAATGATGTCATTATTAAGTGGCATTATAAGGAATAATAAGTGTCCTCTGACATCATGGGACAATAGCGAAGAAAATATGAAATAATACACAAGAGAATATATTGAATCTCGTAAGATCTAAAAAATATAAGGATTATGAGGATATATGTGTCTATAGTCTAGGTATTACATCTGTACTCTAAAAGATGTTAAAACACAAACCCCTCCAAAAAACTTACACACTAGCTGGCTTTGCATATTTTTAATCCAACGCAAAATAAATGTAAACAATTTTGTTTGAAACTATTGTTGAAAACTTCTCTATATATACAAGAAACATTTGCAACATTTACATATATTTACTTCTTTCCTTTTCATTTGAACTAAACTTCTGGTTAGCAGTTTTTAAACCTCTATTAAGTACCACTGCATAAATTTTTATTATTATGACTGGAAGTGTCACCTCAAGAAACTCAAAAGTGGGTTTGGAAGCTATTAATTGTTTTTCCAAGTTGTTTCTTTTCCTTTTGTATGTTAAGGAGATGTAACCACCAGCCATCCTGAAACTGACCAAGCCTCACCACAAGAGCTGGGCCCGTGACCTTTGCCTTATTTTTAAGGCCAAGTTCTCTCCAGGAAGAGATTAGGCCTCATTATGTGGAAGCATGTTCTCCAAGTGAGCCTGTGCAAGCGAATACCCACCTCTCCCTTTTGAATATTCATTCCTCAACCGAAATAAAAGATCCTGCTTCCCTTTGTTCAGTGATGCCATGACTTTGGAAATGATTCCTCATGGCTTCCTATTTGCTGCAAATAACTTTACTTTGTGAGACAACTTCCACTGGTGTAGTCTTACTTAACTCCCCAGGAGCCGAGCCCACGTGGTCCCACAACAGAAGCAGCTGGGTTCCTCCAGCTCTAAGTACAAATACTAACGACTGTCTATCAATTAAATGTAGACATTTAGAAAATGAGAAAGAAACCTTGCAAGCTGGTGGATATCAAATTCTCTTTAATATTTTTCCTGGTAGAGGTGCAATATTTTTCTCAATAGAAGTGTATTTAGTACAAATTAGGTGTATCTTGGACTTTCTTCAGGAAGATTTTGTTACTGGAAAATTGATAATAAGGCAGCATCATCTACTACTAACAAGATAGCAATTCTAGGGGAACATAGATATTAAACAAAATATCAGATTCCATATACCTATTTTTATCAAATATTAAAAGATTTATATGACCTTCATAAATTATTAAAATATGGAAGAGAATATTCTCATCCTCACTACATCACCTAGATATTATCACCTTTAACCCATAATCACATTACCTAGAAATAATCGCCATTAGTGTTTAACACGTTTACTTTTAGTCTTTTTTCTATATACTTACATAATGGTTAGCTCATATTGCAGATATAATCTTGTGTCCTCCATTCTAAACTAACATTGTGGACATTAAAGTTATTTATAATTATAATTTTTAATGACTATATAATATTTCCTCATGCAGATATACCATAATTGACCTATCTATTCTCCTAAGATTAGTAACTGAAATGGTTTCTAATATTTCTCAACTACGAATAACGTCATAATGAAAACCTTGAGCATAAATCATTATTTCATACAGAATTACTAGTTTACCTACTATATTTACCACATATGGAAATATAAATGGTGCATATGTTCCATAGTCTTAGCCTGGTCACATGAATTTTGCCACAGATGTCTTGAAATGTACATTAGGGGTAATCATTATTAATTTCTTAGCTAGAAATATATAAATGTTTCTTTTTTAATTTATTAAAAATGTCAAACAGATACAAAAATAGAATAGGTTAATGCATCCGTCATTCAACTTAAACGATTTTCAATAAATAGCAATTCTTATTCATCTCTATCCCTACCCATTTTTCTACTCCTGATTATCTTTGTTAATATGATAGATTAGAAATTATATCTTAATTTTCACTTGCTATAATAATTTTCAAAGCATATTTCCAAAATTATAAACATAAGAATACCTGAGTGGTCCTCATTTTCAGATTCTTCATAAGCAAATTTGAGTATTTTATAAAATTAATTTTTTAAGGTTTTAATTAAAATATCCTTTACGGAACTTTTGGCAAAACTAATTTTTAATTTTTTAATGAAAATTAAAATTCAAAATACTAAGGTTTAGTCTCTGAAGGTGAGCACACTGAAGAAAGTACAAAAATAGATCCCAAATCATGAACTCCAAGAAAGGAATGTTGCTGTAAAAGCTAAGAAATTCCCAAATCTGGTTTGTATTTTGTGTTTTGGGAGAGTTCCTTTGTTTATTTCTCCCCATTTTGATCAGCAAGCTAGACCATCTCTTATTAAGAAAGGTGTGCTAAAAGAATAAATATAGACCATTTCTTGCGGCCCTCTTTCTCTGGCGAGTATCACCGAGTTAGAATACAGTTACCTGTAATAACCCGGCATCACAATGTGGACACCAGCGCTCGGCTGGCAGATAGCTGCTGCGTTCTTATCATCCATTTTGCGCACAGTGTCTGTGAAAGGTCCCGTGGCATTGATAACACATTTGGCTCTCACATCAAATTCCTGCCCTGTGAAAGAAAGCAGCATCAATCACACACCCCATTTGTTTCTCTGCGCACTGGTGCTTCAGATTACTAATTCATCTATTAACTTAACCTATGGCGAAGTATATTGTATACCACACTAAGTGATGTGAGCAGCCAGAGTTATTGAAAAGCCACACAAAAGGCCCGCATCTGAGTAAATTTACCAAAAACAAGTCCAAATTGAAGAAAGAAAAGCATGCCACTTTTTCATTTCAGCTCTCAGTCTATTTTGCAAAGTGCCCAGCATCAAAGTGCCAAACATGAAGAAAGTGGGATTAGTAAATAAGCCACTTCCTCCTTTAAAACGCAAACGTGTAAACAGCGTTGCTGTGTGACAATACATTTCACGATGCTGGTTTTGTTCAAGGAAATGATGTAATTTTGAAACTCTGCCTGCACTGCCATGGAACCAGGACAAGAACCAAAATCCAACCAAACTTACAGCGATTGACTTGAATGACACGTAAATGTACCGCCTATGTCACCCACATGACACTTTGAAACTTAGCACATTTATTTAATTTTATTAATAACATGTTTTTGTAAAGAAAACGGAATGCACTCATAGCTGTGGGAATTCTGTGGGCATTTATTATTATCATTATCAGTATTATTATTTAACACAGAGGGGAAAAATTGCCAAATCCCGCAAGGGAAAATTTTCATGTTAAACCAGTCATCATTGACAATAAGGAATATAATTAATATGACTCGGAAGTCTGGCTTAAATAAAAGAGAAGTGACAGAAAAATTATAATTCAGTCATTATAAAGGCAAGGCAAGATGCTAAGAAATACCGCCCTGCAGAGGCTTGGCATACCTGTGAGTACATCCTTGCACCGTGCACCGCTCACACGCTCTTTGCCCGTTTGGGGGTCTGTCTTCTTGAGCAAGCTCACGACCTCCATGTAATTGGCCGTGGCAGCCCCATACCTGGCAGCAGTAAGAGCAATGGCAAGGTTCATCCGTGCGTCGTTGTGTTGTCCTGCAGCAGGGAAAAGCATCAGAGGAGGGACAGGAGTCACCTCGAGCCACAGACTGGTGGTAGAGAAGTGTGTCACAACAGATATGTCACATCTGTCCCTGTCACCCAGAATATACATGATGGCTGGTCAGCTCTATTGGGCATGATTTAAAAATACATGGTCATTCTCAGTCAGGCATTTACCTGCCACTTCAGCAAGTTCACTTTGTGTACTGCAAAAAAGACCGAAAAATATCCCTTTCCTACAGACCTCACATCAATTATTTGAAAGTTAAGAAATCATTATTCTCTCAGTTTGGGAACATATGTATATGTCAGACTTTCCTAATACAGACAACCCGTATGTATGAAGGCGAAGCAATTCAAAACTTCAGAATATTTGACACCCCAACTGGTGTTGATTAACAATTTTTACAAGTATGTGCTCTATCTAATATTCAAATTCAAGAGCTCAATCTTCCATAGAGAATCTCTCCGTATTCTATAAAAGGATTTTTCTTGGTTTGAATCTTGATCAGAGCTCCTTAAAGTTTAACTTTTTTCTTAATCGCACATAAAATGTAAGAAATTAAGCAGGGCAAAATTTAATTACAGAATAATTCCTACCTGTATTGTTAAAGATTTATTGCTGAAAAATCCTAGTTAAAGAAAACTAAGGGGGAGGAGTAGGGGGGAGAGATGATTAATCACTTTAAAATACTGGCATCACTAGAGACTTTTTCTATTTATTATTGCCAGTGGAGTTAACGCTGACCAGGAAGAATTACTCTACATTGCCGGGGCCAGGTTCTCTGTGCCCTGAATAATTAATTACCCACAGGCAGATGTATTGAAGCAGGGTTCAAATTCCCACACATTGGGATCAGTTCTATCAATATAATACTGATAAAGGGATGAATTTGTAATGGATATTGTTGTTGATTTATGTTGCCAGCATACCAAACACTTAGTATAAATGGTTTATGTAAAGTTTCTTCCTTGTGATTCAGTCTGTGCAGCGCCAGAAGCTCCACACAGGTAATCTGTTCCAGCTAAAAGGGCAAAGTTATAAAGAGAGAATCAATGATGGAGATTCTGCCACCCCTCCCCACAAACATCTTATTCTAAAACTGCTGAACTAATACAATCAGCCAAGAACATTTCCCTCCAAATTAAATCCTCTATCAGTGGAGAACATACAATAAACCTCAACATGCAGAATAAGGGGTTATTTTATGCAAAAAAGAATAGAATGAAAGAAGGAGAAGAAAAAAACAACAGCAGCAGCAGCAACTGAACTATAAGTGGGACATAAGAAGGATAGCATTTCTATCAATTTCAACTTGGCGTGACCCTAAAGTTGCTATTAAAATAGTCAGTAGGTATACTTAAAGCTAGGTTTAGGAAACCAACTTGTATTATTAATGTAGGGCTCATTTAAAATGGGAATATGCTCCACAAAGTTAAATGCATGCAAACAGTCCAAAGAGACTAAATAAGAATTCCATTATAGATCTTCTCTTTAAACTGAAGAGATTACACATCTTAACCAAAGAGAGTACCCATCCCACCCAATCTTTCTAGTAGATTTATGTACATAACAACGAAACCCCCTATGGGTAGTACAAGAAATCCAAGTAATGTTATTTGGTGGGGAAACTCATCAGGTGTGCCTTGATTTACACACAGGACACATCTCCAGAAAGCCATGTGTAAATCAAGTATTTTAAATCCTATGTGAAGTCACTGTTCAAAGGGATCAGGCAGAAATCCCATTTATTAAATGACAGATTCCTTTGTAAAGTACCTACTATACAATCATCTGGTAATAAAACTCTAAGCCTTCAAAATACAAAATCTTTCTTTTAATAACGTTTTAAACTATAAAATCTCATTGGAGCAGTATTGGTGTAGCTCATCAATCTCTGTTGCTTCTATACTAAGAAATCCCTCCCTAATTAGCTTCCAAACCCCAACATTTTTGAAGGTAAACAAGATCAACTTCAGTTAAAAGTGTGAGGTGGAAACAAGTTCCTTTGTTCCAGGCCCACCCTGACACCCAGCAGCACCTGCCTCAAGTCGAGTCAGGTATGTCACTTATTTATGGAGGCCCTTCATGGTATGATCCTCCTCTGTGACAATTCTACTCCCATTATTCTTGCTATCTAGGATTGTCAAATTATTTGCAACTCGCTGAACATCCGTGTCATTTTACACCTTCTTGCCTTTGCTGACACTAATTCTTCTGGCTGGAGCACCATTCTGGAAGCTCTGGACAACACCTATTAGTTTCTTATGATCTGGTTCAAATATCTCCCCATAAAGTCTCCCCTTACCTGCATCCTTCCAAGGCAAATTTGTTCATTCCTTCTTCTAAACCAACGTTATATCTTGTATATACCTTTTTTACACAGTCTTTATGATACCATATTCATCCATGTACACATCGACTTAAAAAAATAATAAGGCTTGGTTATGAGTCAGGCACTGTGACATGTGCAGGGAATAAAATGGTGAGAAAGATATAGTGCTATCTCTGTTCTCAGGGAACTTATGTCCCATTGTAATTACTGTATTATTTCCTAGGTCTCCTCATCCCAGTCATGGGAAGGCAGGAAGACTTACTTCTTCACCACTTTTTTTCCTCATTGGTACCAAGCAAAGTAGAGGTATCCAGTAAGTGTTAAGTTCAATGTGTTAAATAAACGGTTTATTTATAGTCTTATAGATTTATATAAATTCTATATAAACTTTATAAAATTTTATAGTCTTACCTCTAACTATGGAATAGAATGCTTTGTCTCGTGCTAAAGAAATTTCAGACATCAATAAGTTGGTGGCAAGAAATTTGAGGGAAGCAAGGAAACCCCAGAAATGTGTAAAATCTGAGCTTAAACACAGGCTAGCCCTTATATTTAAGTTGAATAAGTGGAATAGAAAGAGAAATGGTTATGAACCATTCCCTCAAGACTTAACCCACAAATTACTCCTTGCTCTGCAGGGCAATGCAAACATAGTTATGATAAGCTCCTAAAAATTGAGGAGTAAGTAATTTGACTTTCCTCTAGGCCAGGAGTTCACATCTCCACCCAGAAGTCCCCTTCTTTGCAGACATTCAGCTTAATTCATTTACCTCCTTGCATCCATGGTAGACCTCCTCCCCTACCTACATTAAATTCACGCTTTACCCTGAGATACCCAGATGCTCGCAGGGTATGTTCGTGGGATAAGTGATATATTTTCACTATTCTTAACTAAATTTCCCCCTACCCTATTTCCTGACATTTTGAAAGGTATCTATATGCCTCCTGTAATTTTATTTCTGGAGAAAAAAAGTTTTTGACAACACTGCATGTCATTGGAATGCGATACAATAATCTCGGCTCCCCCACCCAACTGATCTGCTTATTAAGCTTGGATTTTCAAATCCATTTCCTCAGAGCCAGGCAACATGATACTGTTCACTGATCAATGAATAGCTTTACATTGGCACTTACACAAGGACCCAGACGGAGACTGTGAAAATCTGTTTCCTACTCTGTTCTCCTTTTGCACTTGAAATCTTACATATGTGCACATACTGAACTTACAACTCGTATGAGAGGAAGCACATAAGAGGTGGAACTATAACTGTTTTCCCTTGTTTAAAACAACAAAATAGAAAATCTACCCACCAAAAAGAACGAAGGTCAGTGGTGGTAGAGAAGGATATTGCCTTAATCCTCAATGGCCTTGCACACAGGATAGTGAGATATATTTTAAGTGAAAAATATTTTAGGATTCAGTCATCTAAAAGATAGGCCTCATATATAAATATTTTGGAGACACAGCAATATTGCTCTCCTCAGAGGGTTTCAAAGTTTGGCAACTAACTAAACATGCAAAATAGCTGAAAAAAGAGAAATAATCATTGGATGTGTACAGGGTGTGAAGAATGAATAAATATGAAACAACTGTAGGTAACAAATTACCTGGCATTTTCCTGGTCCTTGAGATCTAATTCTTTGATGCTCCAATTCTACATACAGTCTTCTTTTAATACAGCATACATTTACCATGGCCATTTACAGTGCACAGACCTATCTATGGACCCAGGAATCTGTATAGAAAGTCTAATTGTCAGAAAAAAATAGTTCTTAATTAAAATAACACCTGTCCATAACTTCATCATCAATAAAAATTGCCACTGTTGAAATGTCGAGAATATTTCCTTCTATCTCCCTGTGCCCTGATGTGGAACTTGTGCAACAACATGACCACTTCTAGCAGGGGGAAAAAGGATGCTTGAAAGAAAGAATACCTCCCTAAAGCTTTAGTCCCATTTCTAACAAATCCACAGGGTATGCTTCCTTATTTCAGACTGACAGTGTCATAGTGACCTCTCAGGCAGCTCCTCTTTAGCAGTCTGGCAAAGATCACTCAAACGCTAACCTACCAAACTCAAGCTGACTTAATATAATCATTATATTTAAAATTTCTCTTTCTGATGGAAAGAGTGCAGGTAGAAGCAGAGTAGAAAATGTATGTGTGTGTACAAGGGGATTACTCAATTCTGGTTTAAGTACATATGACGAATAATCTTATAAAGGAAAACTCAAAATGAGGACATACTTTTCATGGTAAATTGTGACAACAATGCAACTTCCAAAAGTAAATTATTTATAAAAGTGATTATTTGTGTGGGGAGTGGCAGGAATCGTGGAGACAGATGAAGCAGTTTAGGGAGAACGCACTTTACAAGATACAGTAGAGAACGGCTCTGGGCTTAGAATGATTGAGTCACGAGTTTTGGGTACTCCTCTGGGCTTCAGTGTCCAAAAAGGAGAGGAGCTGGGTGGCACCTCTGAAATTATACAATGCAGGTAACGGCTAATCTTCAATTGTTACCTATCCCTCTCAAGATTTCACTTCCCTTTCCCTCATTTCTGGTTTCTCTGACTTTGGCCTACCATGTCTAAAGAGAATGGGCATTAATAAAGACCAAAGGACAGGTGTTTTATAAAGTAAATCAAAAAAAGTAA